AGATTTGAAAGGAGGAAGTAAAAGTTAGGTGATACAAGATAAATGCACAAAAATCAAATGTTTAAACAATTAGAGATTGAAATGAAAAACAATACCAAAGGCCAGGTGTAGTGGCTCACACTTGTAATCTCAGCAGTTTGGGAAGCCGACGGGGGTGGACTGCTTGAGGTCAGGAATTCAAGGCCAGCCTGAGCAACATGGCGAAAGCCCATCTCTACAAAAAATACAAAAAATTAGCCAGGCATGGTGGTGCATGTCTGCAGTCCCAGCTACGTGGCAGGATCACTTGAGTCTGGGAGGCAAATCCCAGCTACGTGGCAGGATCACTTGAGTCTGGGAGGCAGAGGTTGCAGTGGACTGAGATTGTGTCACTGCACTGCAGCCTCAGAGACAGAGTGAGATCTTGTCTCAATAAATAAATAAATAATGCCATTTACAATAGGACAAAGAAAGTGAAATATTTAGAAACAAATCTGATAACATATATATCAGGCCTGTACATTGAATACTATGAAACACTGCGGAGAGAATTTAAGACTTAAATAAATGAAAGATACACTGTGTTCACAGATCGGAAGTCTCAATATTGTCAAACTGTTCTTTCTCTAAAAATTGACCTATAGATTTAATGCAATCTCAATTAAAATCTTAGCAGGCTTTTTGTAGAGAATGACCAGCTGCTTCTAATATTCATTTGTAGATGCAAAGAGAACAGAACAACCAAACAACTGCAAACTTTGAGAAAGAAGAACGTTTGAATCTTTACACTACCTGAGTATTTACATTACCTGACTTCAATTCTTGTTATGAATCTATTGTAGTCAAGACAGTGTGGTATCAACTTTAAAAAGAGACAAATAAATAAATGGCACAGAACAGAGAGTCTATAAATAGATTCACACACATATTATCAATTGGTTATTGGCAAAGATGCAAAGGCAAGTCAGTGGGGAAAGAATAGTCTTTTTAATAAATAGTGCTGGGATGATTGCATTTCGCTAGGCACATACATACAGATACACACTTTGATTCATACCTCAGCATTTATAAAAGCTCATTCAAAATGGATCACCATCCTAAATGTAAAACTGAAATCTACAGAACTTCGGTAATAAAATCTTTGTGACCTTGAGTTAGGCAAATGTGACACCAAAAGCAGAATCCATTAAAGAAAATAAGCTGCACTTCAAAATTAAGAATTCTGATCTTTGAAAGACACTTTAATTTCTTTTTATCTTGGAGACAGGGTGTCACTCTATTGCACAGGCCAGCCTTAAACTCCTGGGCTCAAGAAATCCTCCTGCCTCAGCCTCTCAAGTAGCTGAAGCTACAGGCACCCACTACCATGCCTGGCTAAAGACACATTTAATAGAATGAAAAGACAAGCCACAGACTGGAAATAAATATTTGCAAACCACACATCTGATAATGGACTTGCTTCTAAAATAGCTATAGAACTCTTAAAACTCAACAAACAGCTCAACAATTGGAAAACCAAACATTCCAAGTGTATGAGTCAATTTCATGCTGCTGATAAAGACACACCTGAGACTGGGCAGTTTACAAAGGAAAGAGGTTTAATTGGGACGTACAGTTCCATGTGGCTGGGGAAGCCTCACAATCACGGCAGAAGGTAAGGAGGAGCAAGTCACATCTTAAATGGATGGCAGAAAGCAAAGACAGAGAGCTTGTGCAGGGGAAGTCCTCTTTTTAAAACCATCAGATCTTGTAAGACTTATTCACTATCATGACAACAGCATGGGAAAGACTTACCCCCATGATTCAATTACCTCCCACCAGGTCCCTCCCATAACACGTGGGAATTCAAGATGAGATTTGGGTGGGGACACAGTCAAACCATATCACCAAGTAAAGGAAAAGTAATAAAGTAAAACTGAAACAGACGTTTCACCAGAGAAGATACCTGGACGGCAATAAGCACAATAAAATTTGTTCAACATCACTAGTTATTTGAAAAATGCAAATTTAAACTACAATGAGATACCATTATATACATATTAGAGTGAATAAAAATTTTTAAAGTGACCACAGAAAGCATGAGTGGGGATATGGAGCAACTGGGACCCTCATGCATTGATGGTGAAAATGTAAAACGGTATAACCACTTTGAAAAACAGTTTAAAAAGTTAAACAGATACCTACCATGTGATCCAGACACTCTGTTCCTAGATATTTCCCCAAGAGAAATGGAAGCACGTGCGCACACAATGTCCACACAGTGGACACACACACGAATGCCTACGGCAGCTTTATTTGTAATAGTAAAAATTTAGAAGCAAGTAAAATGTCCCTCAACGGGTGAATGATAAACAAATAGTGTTATATCCATACAGTGGAATACTACTGAGTAATAAAAAGAATGCACCTGCAACAAGATAGATGATTCCGAAAATAAATATGTTAAGTGAAAAAAAAGACAAAAAAGTGTGTATATAGTATAGTTCTTTTTATATAAAAGTCTAGAAAATGCAAACAAATCTATCTTGATAGAAACCTGGTCAGTGGTTTTGCACAGGGACTGGGATGTGGGGTAGGGTGGGGACGTTTAGGAGGGAGGAATTACCAAAGGGCATGAGAACACTTTTTTGGGTGATGGATATGTTCCCTAACTTGATTGTGATGATGGCTTCACAGGTGTACACAGCTTTCCACCTCATGGCCACAGACTGGTTAATCATTCATACAAAACATCCATTGCCCTGGGTCCAACCTCCTCCTGCCCCCTGTGGAGATGAACTGTCTACTTCACCGATGCTATTTCAGGTTGTATAATATAGTGCCTGACAACTCTCTCCGTTTTTGGAACACATCCAAATTGTTTCTTACTCATTTTCCATTTCTGCCTTAGAACGAATTTCCTGCCCTGGTAACTAGGTGAAGGATTTTGGAGTTATCTGGGGTAATGGAGACATCCTTCATTGCACCCCACATGTGCTTTCTGTGTTCCCCAGTTATAGAAACCAAAATGAGCAGTTGTATGTGAATGCATTTTATCAAACCAAGTCTCTACATGATAGGAGGCAGTGTCATTACTAAGGTAGTAACTCAGTAGAAAGAGAGAATCGAGAATATGAGGAATGAGAGTAGGGTCCAGACTAAAAGGAGGCCAGGGGTCCTGAACTGCCCCATCCAACTGAGGTCATTCTGATACCTACTGACCTGAAGCAGCCGGCCCACACCGAGGGGCACAGTGTCCCAGATGAACAGGCAGAGGCTAGAGATGCTCATTCCCAAAGGGATCAAATAATTCTGAGAATTGCAAGAACTCCATAAACTCTCTTCCCCAAAACTACAAAAATGTGCAGAAAATAATTACGAACAATTTTTAGGAGCTTACACCCTTTGAAGTGTATCCATGGGCTGCTGGAACCCTTGGGAAATAATGGCTAGAAGTGCCTCAGACACTGCCTGGCACCCAGCCGGTGCTCAATGAATTATCTGTCTGATGAAGTGATTAGGAGCCTTGTAAATACTGATTCAAGCATGTATCACCCCATCCAATTTTTGAAACCAGCGCTTCTCAAGAACAAGCAGGAAAATTAAATATTGTTTTGAAGTAGCCGTGGTGGTTTGGGGGCAGAAGCCCAGGGGCACTCCTTACTCCACCTGCTCCAGTAACTACACATGGGAGTGCCTGGCCGCTCTGGTTCAGACACAGGTGCAGATAGATGATTTCTCTGTCCCATTTTAATTCTCTTTGAAGATCATTCCCACGGACATTCATTTGCCATTTGCCTAAATTAACATATTCATGCTCGGCCGGGCGCAGTGTCTCACGCCTGTAATCCCAGCACTTTGGGAGGCTGAGGCGGGAGGATCATGAGGTCAGGAGATTGAGACCATCCTGGCTAACACGGTGAAACCCCGTCTCTACTAAAAATACAAAAAATTAGCCAGGCGTGGTGGCGGGCGCCTGTGGTCCCAGCTACTCAGGACGCCGAGGCAGGAGAATGGCGTGAACCCGGGAGGCGGAGCTTGCAGTGAGCCGAGATAGCGCCACTGCACTCCAGCCTGGGCGACAGAGCAAGACACCGTCTCAAAACAAAACAAAACAAAACAAAACTAAAAACATATTCATGCTCATAACCCCACTTTCAAACCAGTGACCTCAAAGATTTCTACCAGCAATCCCATTCCATTCTTCCAAGTACAGAAAGCAAAGAGAAACTGTGACCTGGGAATCTCAGCGTTGAGCCTGCTGAGCAGAATGGCCATCCATTTGGGGCGGGGTGCTGACTCATTGCCCCTTTTCATTGCATTTTGGGGTGTGGGGATTTCCAGAGCAAGATTCTCCAGAGAGGAGTATCCAAGCTCCCTCCTCCCCGCAGCAGGGGGATGCTGGGCTAACTGCCTGCTTCGGGTCCCCCGTGAGTGGTCTGCTGTGTTTTGATTCTGTTCGTTTGTGTGTGTTTTGCCTATGACTTTGCGAAATATTCCAAGACAAGAGCCAGAAAGTCTTGGTCTCTGAAGACAAGCACAATGTTGCTTTCAGCTTAAATATCTACTGGGAAACCTCAAGATTTTGAATGTCATCATTACGAAAAACAGAGATTACAAAAGGAAACCGTCGCATTTCACTCGCTGGCCCCCAGTGGGATTGGATCTGACCTCAGTGCATCTTTAAAATCTTTGGTAGGTTTTAAGTCTTGACAAAATGTGCTTAAGCATGAAGATTCCAAAAAGGATGCAGTAGATTCGGGGGGAATGGGGGTTGGAAAGAGGCTTAAATCTTCACATGACACCTGGAATATGGTCAAAATGTACCTGCTCAAGTTGAACCAGGTATTGCCTCCTCCTTTTACCCCATCGCTAGTGAAGACAAGCACTACCTGGGGAGACGCTCCTTTTCCGAGACACTAGAGTCCCGCCGCGTCCCGGATGCTCCGCTTTCCCCGCGCCCGGATCCTCCCGGGAACCCGCGCCCCGCCCGCGCCTGGTCCCGCCCCCGCCGCCTCCCCGCGCGCAGCCGCCCGAACCCGCCCAGACCGAGCGCCCGAGGTGCCGCAGCCGCTGCCGCCGCCGCGATGTGACCTTCAGGGCCGCCAGGACGGGATGACCGGAGCCTCCGCCCCGCGGCGCCCGCGGCTCGCCTCGGCCTCCCGGGCGCTCTGACCGCGCGTCCCCGGCCCGCCATGGCCCCTTCGCCCTCGCCCGGGCCCGCGGCCCCGCGCGCCGCGCCGCTGCCCCTGCCGTTGCGGCTGCTGCTGCTGCTGCTGGCCTCGGAGTACGCGCTCGGTGAGTCCCGCGGGCCCGAGACCCCGTCCCTGGGCGGCGGGAGGAGGCTCCGGGCGCGGCTTGACGCGTCCTCCTCTCTCCCTCCGGGCAGCCGCGTTGTTGCCGGCGCGCGAGGCCACGCAGTTCCTGCGGCCCAGGCAGCGCCGCGCCTTCCAGGTCTTCGAGGAGGCCAAGCAGGGCCACCTGGAGAGGGAGTGTGTGGAGGAGCTGTGCAGCCGCGAGGAGGCGCGGGAGGTGTTCGAGAACGACCCCGAGACGGTGAGCGGCCGGCGGGCGGGATGCGGGGGAACCCCGGGCCCCCGCGCGCCTCCGACCCCTCCCGAGGGGCAGCGCTGCCGCCGCCCCCCAGCTCCGCCCGGCGAGGCCTGGCCTCAGGGTCCCAGGAGCCCCGGCCCGCCCCGCGTCTCCAGCGCCCATCCCCCGGCGACCCCAGAATCCCCGCGCAGGCCGGTGGGACGCCGCGGGGCTGTCCGGGAAACGCTCGCTGTCAGACGCCTCCCCGCGGGGAAGCCGGGAGTCCGTTTCCAAAGTGCGAAAGAAACACAATGGTTAAAACCCGGACCGCTTCCCCGCGGCCCTCCCTCTGCTGGGCTGGAGGTGAGGGACCCCCGGGCCGCGCCTCGCCCTCCTGAGAGGGGTGGAGAGCGGTCCCCTCCCGAAAGAGGAATTGAAAGGGCCGAGGGCGGGAACTGCTTGCGGCAGCAGGTCCAAAAATATGATTCCAGGAATCGAGCGGGGCCGCTTGCGGGAGGGGAGGGCGGCTCCGCGGCCCCTTTCTGCCAGGTGCTCTCCCAAAGGCAGCGGGTGCGTTCAGGAGCCCGGCGGTGCTGGCCCCGGCACCTCGGTTAGGAATGTCCTTGGAGGAGGCGGGGAACCTGGGGCCGCCCCCGCAGGATCCGCCGTGTGAGGACGGCCCGGCCACTCTATCCTGCGGGCTCGGGGAGCGGGTGACTTTAGAAAGTCCGAGAAGGTGTGGATTCCCATTGACGTCCCTCCCGCCCTGAAGTCTGGGTGATTTCACAGTCAGTTTTACTGGAATGTTCCTTTTAAGGAATTCTCCTGGGGTGGAATGAATGTCACCTGAGATGAAAGAGTGGTTCTGGATGACCCATGGAGGCCTGTTTCCGCTTACATTTCTAGTGGTTAACTTGAGCCCTCTTAGATCTGTCTGCTTTTCTGAAAGCTGTGAGGCTGTCAGATGGCCACTGTGCACCTGTGGGCATAGCTCATCCCTGCAGAGATGAGGCACCTGGGGCTGTTCTCAGGCGGCTACTCTCAGCACTCACAGCCCCACAGGCCCGTGCCCTCATTCAGTGCAGCCTAGCTGGTCGCTCTCCCAGGCCTCTCTGTTTTCCGGTTTCTTTAATGATGAATCCTGGCCTGTGCCGCTGGCCAAAGCAGCGTGGGCCTGTGTGCCCTGGTCGCTCGGATTCGCCGCCCAGCCGTGGGCTTGGTCGTGTGGCTGGTGCAGTGCCCTCCAACAGCGTCCTCACCCTGAACATTCTGCGTGCACAGGGACTGCGGCATGGGGCGTGCTAGTGATGGGAGTTGAGGGCAGCAGGATTCACTCCCAACCCACGGTGCCCGCTCTGCGCAGCACTGCAGGGCCCCGCTGCAGCCCCTCCTGGCTGTCCTCCTGGACACGCAGGGCCCATGTCAATCAGACTGAAGGAGGCCTGGAGGTACTGTGTTGTTCTTCCCAAGTCCCCTACCTGGTTTTCCAATTTTAATTTAATAACTTCATTTACAAAGGTGTGAAATGAAGACAAGAAAATGAAAACAGCACTCAGGATCCCAACACTTTAATACAACTGCGGTTGGGTCAGATGGTTTCTGTGCTGGCATGTCCGTCCCCCTCACCCGTCTGCATGTGGCTGAGTGGCTTTGATGCTGGGGAGGCCTCCTTCCCGTCCTTTCACAGCCTGGCCCCAGCAGCCTCTGCCGGCTTCCTTTCAGCGTCATCTCGTTTCCAGAGTTCTGCCCTCCTTCCCAGCCCCCATGCCAAATGATAACAACCCGCTTTCCCTCTGGTTTTTGGAGCTGGCCATTAGCTTGCTGTCTGTTTCTGTTTCGGGTTCCTGCAGGCAGGCGGATGCTGGGGAGAGCCTGGTTGGGGCAGGGGCAGGGTCCAGAGGCTGGCTGAGTCCCAGCCGGCTCCAGCACACCAGGCCCACCCCTCCTGGGACCCTAGTCTCCACTGCATCCTCTGCCACACCCTTGGGAGACCCCAGGCCCGAGGGAACCGTGCAAGCACAACTTCCTGCGAATGCATGAAAATCATCCATGAACTTCTCCCTGTCAAAGGCCAGGGGCTCCTTGTCTTTGAAATGTCGCTTGCTTTACATTTTGTGCGGTGAGGCTGATTGAGGACAAGGGCTGTGGCCTGAGCTCACGCGTTGACCAGGATCTGGCCGTGGTGACTGTCAGAGCATCCTCGGGCCCCTGGCCTCCCCAGGCCCGAGTCCTGATGTGTGGTCCTCCACGAGTGGTTGTGGGGAAGGTGGTCCCAGCCCCCTGCCATTTTAGGATGTGGGAAGTGCCTGGCCGCCGTTAGTTAACATGCACCTACCCAGCCCTGCCTGTTTTCCCTGGGCAGCCTCCTACGAGGGAGGGAAGGGACAGCTGGAGCCAGCTCCCCAGTGTGCTCACCTTCATGTCCACCCGCTAAACTGCTAACCTGCCTGAAGCGTGTCTCACTGCCCCTCGCTGGGGCTTCTTCCTGGTTGCGCCTTCTTCCCGGGAGCGCCTGCTCTGCAACCCTTCCAGCAGGCAGATACTAAGCACAGCACCCCTCCCAGGCTCCAAGCTCACTTGTATGCTAACCCCTGTGCCCACCTGCCCACCTGCTAACCTGCCTGCAGCGTGTCCCACTGCCTCAAGCTGGGGCTGCTTCCTGGTTGCGTACTTCTTCCCGGAAGCGCCCGCTCTACAGACCCCCACCTTTCAGCAGCCGGATCCTTAGCCCAGCACCCCTCCCATGCTCTGGCCCTCACCACACACCTGTGGTTTAAAGCTCTGTTCTGCTGGAAGGGACACTCCTCCCACCTCCCCAGCCCTCTCTGCTGGAGCCGTGCCCCTCCCTCGACATTCCTCCAGGCTGGGCCGCCCCCACGGGCCTCCACCGCCCAGACCTTCTCCTTATCTTGTTTTCCTTTTTATATTGTTATTCTCCCTCCCTGGCCTTGCCTCTCCCTGCTGGGTTCCTTGCCCGAGTTTCTAATTCAGAGAGGACTGGGTAACTCCCCACTGTGCTAAAGCTTCCCAGGCCCAGTGCCTTTTTACTAAATCCTTGAAGGCCATCAGGTTCCAGGGCCTGCTAAGATCTCTGTAATCACCCCTCGATTCCAGAAAGGATCCAAGACTAGAGACTTATCCCAGCCCAGCCCTAACGCCCAGGTCCTCCGGTGCCTGCTTGGGAGCCTGTTTGTGCACTTTGATCCCCGGCTTGTGTGCAGGAACATCATCCAGGCTGTGGTTCCTGATCCCATCACCTGGCTTTATTTGAGATACAAAGCACGATATTCACCGAGGGCTGGTGGCCTTCCCTGAGGGTCGGCCTGGGTTAGCTGACCTGCACCTGCACCTGCACAACATGTGGCCAGGCCTGTGCTCCGAGGCCAGGTTTCCCTTCCCCCTTCTCTTTCTTTGTCTCCCTCTGTGTTTCTCTCTCTTCTCCCCACTGCTGGTGGTGAGGAATTCTCTGCAAGGGATGTCGGTGTATCCGTTTTGAAACTTGCTGGCTCATCCTCAATTGCATGGGCCCTCCAAGCACCTTTTCCCTGACCTTGTGGATTCTTTGGGAACAGCTAGGGAAGGAGTACCCTGTATGGAAATGAAAACCCCTCTGAGTCCCCACCTGGGGACAGCCACTTGGCTGGGACACAGGCCCAGATGTTGGGATGGCCTAACGGGAGGTTCCAGTTGGAGGGGAGGGCTGTACAATGTGGGGGCGCCTGGTGGGGAAGGTGATGGCCAGGCTGAGATCTCCCCTGCCCTGCTTTGACAGAGGCTGCAGCACACTCCCACACACATCCCACAGATACATGTGCACATGCACACATTCACACATGGACACCTGCACAGATAGGTGCTGACTCATGGATATAGGTTTGAACGGACACACACACCCCTACCCAGACACATGTACACAGGTACGTATGTTCCCATAGACAGATATATATGCATGTACACATAGGCACACACATACTAATAGACATACGCATACATGCACACATTCACATAGATATACGCACACACAGTCACACACACTGAGAGACAGGCACACACATACTACCAGACATGTGCACATACATGCACACATTCACACAGACATATGTACAGTCATACAGACATGCAAACACACAGGCACACATACTAACAGACATGTACACAGGCATGCACACATTCACATATACATATACACAGTCACACACGGGCATGCACACACACGGGCACACACATACTAACAGACATGTACACACACATGCACATATTCACATAGACATATGTACACACAGTCACACTGATAGAAATGCACACATACACAGGCACACACATACTAACAGACATGTACACATACATGCACACATTCACGTAGACATACACACAGTCACACACATAGACATGCACACATATACACAGGCACACACACACTAACAGACATGTACACATACATGCACACATTCACATAGACATACGTACACACAGTCACACACAGACATGCACACACATACACAGGCACACATATACTAACAGACATGTACACATACATGCACACATTCACATAGGCATACATACACACAGTCACACACAGACATGCACACATATACACAGGCACACACACGCTAACAGACATGTACACATACATGCACACATTCACGTAGACATACATACACACAGTCACACACAGTCACACACTGACAGACATGTACACACATGCATAATGACATGCACGCACGTACACACAGTCACATACACACACACAGGCACACATGGATGCCCAGCCACATGCATGCAGACACACACAGACACATGTGCACCCTCTCACACACTTTTCTCTTTCCACAACTTCGGGGTCAGAAGACCACTGACAGCTGCTTCAGGATCCCTAAAAACTGAGACAAGGTTCCGGGGCTCTGTGGCCCCAGCTTTCTCGGACCCCCGGGGTCTCTCCACTCCCAGAGCCCCCTGCCCGAGGGGCCGGAGCCCTGTGGCCAAGGCCTTTCCTCCTGGGCCCATCCTGAGGCCTGCAGGCTGGC